CCCTTGGACTAAATATAGGGGATGGTGTCTTTGGATAGTTTGAGTGGTGCAGGAGAAAAAAAACTGCTGCCCATGAAATGGCGCCAGTCCAGAAAGGAATGGTTATCAGTGCATTGGATATTTTCAGTCTCTATTCCTTTTCATGAAATTTGAACTGAACAAAACAGAGTGCACGAGGGAACTGTCGTTCACTGTCCGCTGAAGAAATTGTGCGCATTGTTGCGGGTCGTAGAGTCAGCACCATTTCTTACGGGATGAGACCAAACGGGGGAATCAATGACAACAAACTCGTCACTGCAGACGATTAATTCGGTTAATTCAACACTCAAAAATCGTAGGAGTTTTTCTTAATACAAAACGAATGAAAGTCCACTTAAACAAAGAACGATTTTGCGGACTTTTCACATCCCTTAGTAACTTGTTCCAAATTGTGATTATGTTCAAAGAGAAGAACTGGCGATACTTAACGGAACGTGCCATAGGAGGAAATAAAAAGGCCTCGCGTTGACTGTCACGCCGAAGTTGGGGAAAGCGTTTTAAATTATTAAGTGGACTAGAAATGCGACTGTTTAAAAGTTAAACCAGCAAAAATAGTCCCTTTTATGATACATGAAACCACAACGGATCAAGGCCTGTAAGCCCGCAACGTTCTTTGCAATTCAAATTCGAGCGCTCCGAGGTTAAAACTATTTTGGTAAAGAAATGTTGGACGGATTCTATTTCCTTCCTCTCAGCAGCATGCATGAGGCTGAATAAAAATGAACATTATGCCAGGCAAGAAGCAGATGACACTAGTTGGCCGCTTCCGGCGCCAATCTCCATTTCAAAAGTGAGTTTATGGCTTCCTCGCCAACAGCAAATTAGGGTACAGTTGTGTTGCTCAGATACCTAGCCTAAGTCCGCAGGACCTGCCTTTTTCACCGTTGCGGTCATTCTTTTGTAATTGAGTAGCGCGCAGCTCGGGTGATTTAAGAAGCATGATGAACTTCATCGCATCTCGTTTCGCGTACAAATAGATATCATTTGTCTGAGTAATTAATTATTTATGTTCCAATTCGTTCGCTCTGTGTTTCATCGGTGAGAGCATTTGAAGAATGTGACTTCGTTTCGGGCTGCAGTGATTATGCAAACCATGACTTCTTTTCTTGACTGGTAGTCCATGAGGTTTGGCGTCCTCGCAATCGAACCAGTCTCTAGGTGATTGACGGGAAGGTCCGTTAACTTCAATGGCAGTAGCGTGAGTGGATTTTCACAATATCTGAAATTTATGCTTAACATTTTAGTCTGTGACTACACGAAGGCTGTGCTGGTAGATTCTTTTTTAGTTGGAGTCCAAATTTATTCCAGAGCCGCAGTGTTCAGCTGGGACTGCGATATTTCCACTTAGGCTGCTGACACAGTTTTCAAACGAAAAGGCGGATGTCAGTATAGCATTCGGCCATAAGCTATGATTTTTTACGGGCACCCTACGCAAGTCGCGCCTTCTGGTAAAAAAATAGTGCAAAAGTCGCTGTCGGTGAAATCAAATGGGCACTAAGTTGGTCTTTCTGTAACAAAAAGTTCAAAAAATAGCATTGGTGATGGAAAGCTCGTGGCGTCCAGGCGTTTATTCGCTAATGCTGTGGTTTGCACATACTTTAACTTCGAAGTCAATGAGGGCGATCATTAGTCTGCTTTCTGTTCAGATTTGAAGAAGACATGTAGGTGTTTGTAGGCCTTTTAATTGAATGCAATTTGGTTGCAATGGGATAATCACAGCAGTCCATAATGATAGCAAATTCCTTTAACCGATTCGGAAACATGTTAGTGATAATTTGGCTATCGGATCTGTAGAACAGAGAAGCCATCGTCCTGTTGAGAACGGTTCCTCTGATGTAGATGAATTCCGCGTGAAGTCGCACTTTATTGTCGCAGCATATCCAAAAACAAAAAGCTTGCATGGACCACATTTAACTGTCTTTGTTCTCAATGAATGCCTTTGTAAAAGGCAAATGGGGTAGAAATGAGGATGCTGCTTCGTACTAAGTTTGACTTCACAATCCACTATCGGCTGTTGGACGGTGTAACTGCCAACATTTTCAGGACATCCTATTTAACCCATTTACAAGAAGAAGTGAGAAATCAAACCCAAATAGGACCGTTGAGTCACAGCATGTGGTTGTTTAGTTGCCCTTTGGTCTCAACTTTGAACTAATGGGGAATCAAACCGCATTGTTAGGCATCGAACACAGAATTGTTGTTTCCTTCCTGACAGGGTTTTTAGAGTCGCAAAATCTGGAGTTGGAGAGCGTACAGTTAATGTCACCTTAACATAAATGACGCTAACGCTGCGACAAGATCATTCGTTTTTCCTCATCCAGTATACTTAAGTGTCAAGAAACGTTAGGGTGACGATAAATAACGCTTACACGACGACGCGTTATGCCGAAAGAATGTTTGTGACTGGCATGTTTGTGCCGGTCCCCACACGAACAGGTTTTGAAAAAGGAATGTCCAATGTCCAACTGATTTTATAGTACACCATTAAAAACTATTTGTGGCTAATCCTCAACCCCCAAAAGGGCGAATTAACGCGTCTTCTGACAAGATTTCAAGCAGTGGCTTTTAACTCCATACGATAGCTGACACGCAAAAGCAATTGCCCATAGGTACATTTGTAGCGCTGAGTCAGCAGCAGATCGAACCTATTCTTCTTCTTCTTCTTCTTCTTCTCTTCCCCATTAGATTCTTACATCATATCCGAGTCAAAACTATTGGAAGACAAGCCAGGTACAGTTTGTGACCTGAGAAGTAACCATTGTCTAGGCCTACAAGATATGCGCACACCAGTCAGATGTAGTATAGAAGCAATCAGGTTTTTCATCGAAGGGTGCCTCCATAAACACCAAAGAACGTTGAAGTCATTACAAACGACCCCTAAATCCTGAGGAGGATCAAGTCATTCCAACAGATGGCACGTTCGCTAGCCACAATTTGTGGCACGTTGTGTTCCGATAGCAATCTTCACTCAAAATGAACGACGTAAGTGATATCAGGCGTACTATTTAGCTAGGAGTCGGGTGTTCCTCCAGAGTATGTCACACACTTGTTTGGATCCATCTCGGTCTTACCCAAGGACGCTTACTGCCTTAACCTCGAATTTATGTCGCATTGGGTAATTGCTTTTAAAATAATGTGTGCTTGTGTGGCCACTGTCAGTGTAGACTGCCAGTCAGTCATTGTATTTGAGGGTAATAAGCTTACGCCTCTGAATCCCCTATTTGCACATAAAAATCGAGAAAATATGCAAAAAATTGAAGAAATAGCAGCCTTAAGTGTATTCAGACATCGATTCACATAGGTCACTGATTTTATGGTTAAAGAGTCACATAGTCCGCTTGTTACCGACATTTAAATGACTCCACAGATTGGGACATAGCAATCGTCTCGGGCAGGTTATTTCGCGGTCCTACGTTGCGCTTGGAGAAAAATATTTTCTCACATTCAATCTACCTTAGAGCACACGTAATTTGGAGGGATCTCCCCGAATTTTAGTTGCAGTGGCAAGTTGGAAAAAGTCGTCGCACTGGAGGACGCAGCCAGTATATGGACCTAAAATAGAATTGCTTTGTCTGATTAATGAGAACATGATCCGCGAGAAAACGGCGGCCGCTCTAGTCATATGTGGGCGCCACAACAACCGCAGAAGCCGATCACAATGGGATTTGCCTGTTAGTCGCAATAAGCGCCTAAGATCAGTAAATGTAATGAAAAGTTCTTGCATACCATTGTAATTGCCTAATAGCAAACGAATTCACCGCCAGCCAGGGTATTCGCTAGGGGTAATTAAGCTTCAGCGAGGTACGTGACTTGATTGGTTGTTAGGTCGGCTGCACCGGAGTCGCGAAGGACGCAAACGACCGCGTGCGCTTGCACTGGCTTGTCGATTAGCTCCGGTGCGCCAAAGTACCCATGCTCTATCCGGCGCCACATCTTCTTTCTCACGTAGCAGTGCGTACACCGTTCCTGCCTCGACGCTCTCACTGCCTACGTAACCCCTTTTTGCCTAACTAGTTTTATTGACTGTTAGTGAAAAGAATGTTGTATTGTGTTAGCAGTCGAAATCGCCGACGTCATGCACGTAGGAAAACGAAAAACTAATACGAAGAATCAGTAAAAAGGTGGGGAAATATCGTCTTCGCCAGACATCTTAATTGACGATTCTGATTTCGCGACCACTTACGATTTCGAACGTCCGTCTACGTTTGAGTCTCCTCATGTCTCTATGTACGAAGAAGATCAGGCAATTTCAAACGTACGGAAAAAGGAATCGGATGCATATGAAACTTTGCGAAAGTCGGCATTTCGCTTACAAAAACCATACTTCCATCTGAAGGACCTTCCGCAGATTTCGAGACCAGTTTGCCGGATCTACCAACCGATGCACGAACACAGTTGGTCGCAGCAACCTTCTCTGCACACGTCATCTCAACGGGCTGTGGCGACCATGTTCGTTTGGGCCTTGTGAGCCAGCTGAACGGCGAGTTGCAAAGAGTTGAATTTGGTTGTATTTTTTCTGGAAGCTTAACTATAATGAGTCCTGTGAACGATTGTGGAGCCATAACTCCTACATATGTAGGCTAAGTAAACTGAATTACAGTACTCTGCCCTGTCGTTCAGATCGACTGCAAAGCATTTCCCAATCAACAGATAACCATGCACTGTTGTAAAGACAGAAATACGGCGTCATGCAGGACAATCGCGCAGTCCTGGGTATCCAAATAAAGGGAGATAAGCGATCCTATTATCATTTCCGAGCAATTCTTGGTTTGATTTTGCTTGAAAGACAGTGAACTCGATATACATGATTGCCGCGATAGAGGAAATAAAGTCACGTACCATGTCTTGACAAAAAATTACCTCTCGTAACTTGAACACTCAAGCAACTTGAATAATTGATCAATATAAACACAGACTTTACGCTGGCAGCTTTTTTGACTTCTTTGAGTCGTCCTAGCGAAATGCATCTTGCCGGTTGGCCGAGAGGCACTGCCGAGAAGTTTCTACACCCAGCGCCTACTGTTAAAACAATAACTTTGTAAGTCTCCTTGTGTCCGCCCTGTGTTAGTCCCCACCGTTCCACAAACGTCATTATTTCTACCCCACTTTCTTCCTTTTTGACTAGGCACTCGCGAGGGCAGCGAACATGTACCTCGAAAAGTCTTTTTTATGTTCCCATCCCCATGTGCCATTCCGTATATCCTACATCTAGAAATGTAACCCCTAACTGTACACTCCACAGCCGTCGCCTTAAGGCGGATTTCCAGCCTTAGTTCCATCTTGAACTAATGGCTTTGACATGTCTATAGATCCCATTCTGTAAATCCCCGTCCTTGCTTAAACCCCTTTACAAGTGCCAAGAGTATCCGTCACCCTAATGCGTCCTACCGCCAGTGGGATCGACGCCTTCGATGCGTTAAGGGATTTTTCGTTCCGTAAGTCATCGCATCGCAAGTACCTTTCCAGCAGCCATAAAATGCCTTTAACACTAACCATGTCAAAGGGGTTCTAATGTAGGCCTGAAAATTCGGTTTTTAATTGTTTTTGCCTCTTAGACTTTCTGAATTAATGCCCAAGAAGCAAATGTGTCGTGCCAACAGTACTGGTACTTAGCATTTGCTGTCCTCGTCTTGCCGATTGGAACCGAAGCATGTTTATTTCATGACTATGTGGCCATTGACTGGCTAACTTAATTCTACTGATTTTAGTTCACTCTTGCGTTGTAGTCATATTTTCTGTTCTGTATTGGTGTATCGTTTTACTGCCTCTCCCTACATTTACGGACCGCTGCATGTTTTTTTTACCATTCGAGGCTATGTATATGTGCCAACTTGCCAGAAAAAGACCCTAAGAATGCCTTACTGACTACCAACTTCATACACGCCCTCCACTTTTCCGCCGAGGGCATATATTCTCACCATAGTTTGTCTCACGTTTCTAGTAGTTTCCCTAAGACAGTTTCAGGACCATCTGTAATCCGCCGTCTTGCTGTTATGTCAGGCAACTGCTGCTTTCCAAAAGTAGACCACAACAGACTCGCCTTCCTCAGTAGTCTCTAAATTACTTAAGCGACTGTCAAGTTTTTCGACGGCGATCTTATCTTCGTCAATCTCCACTTTTAGGTATCCTCTGAAGAGTTACAGCTTCGGAACCAAAGAGCCTAATTATGAGCGTGATCGTAGCGTTCCTGCAAGGTTCCAGCGTCTACAGGAAGACTTCGAGAAGTATGGTATGCGACATTCGGTGGAAGGTGTTCTCCTTGTGCATGAACACAACCTACCGCACGTTCTGTTACTCCAATTGGGAACTTTTTTTAAACTTCCTGGTGGTGAGCTGCATCCGGGCGAGGAAGAAATGGAGGGACTCAAACGGCTCTTATCGGACGTGAGCACTATCTTATTGCGTTTTGTTATGTTTCGTTACTCCATGCTTTTCTGTTTATAGTAGTTCTCCCTCTTCAGAGTAAATCGGCACGCGCTAGTGCAATGGCCGTTACGGCTTGCTTATTAATTACAGAATGCCGTACTCTTTACGGTTAAGTACGCCTTAACTCGCATCTGTCTTCTTATATCGCTTTCGGTTTCGCCGTGATGTCTGACCGACGACGCCCTAAATCTTATCAAATACTCCGCGATTCCGACATTTTTCTACAACAGCGATAGTGGATCGTATAGAGCAAGCTAATCAAAATTGGCCACGGATTTTCTACGGTCCCGATAACTTTATAGAGAACTCCCTCTGTTAATAGCCCTTTAAAAATCGACTAGTCTTGCCAAGGTGTGTTCCCAATTCTACAAGGATCACTATAGTAACAGAAAAAAGTCGAAGTACATTTAGCGGTGGACGAAATACATACTAATCGACTGGTGCTTCTCTCTTTGGAAGATGTTGCAACCTGTTTAAGGTATTCTCTTTTCCTACGAAAACACATTTTATGGTTTCGGTCAATACCTCAGATTTTTTTTAGCCTATGATGTCATCTTAAATATCGACTTTTGTTGTCATTGTAAGTGCGCATCTTCCAGAAGACATGGATCATATTTGTATCGAGACAGTTTCTCTTATTTAGCCTCCAGCTAAATCATGGAGACCAGGACGCGTCAGTTCTTGCTGGCCACTCGGCAAGGACCGTCATTTTGTTTTGGCCAGCCTGTAAGAATCGGCGAAATATGCTACGACCGAAGTCCCCAATCGTCAGCAACCTTTGAGTGAGATCAGCAAATCCCGATAAGAATGTGGCGGCAGGACTGCTTACTGGCAGGCAATCTTTCTTTTCACAATGTTACTTTGGTTTGTGACCTGTGAACCAGAGTTCTTAAATAAGGAACCACCCATCTACGACGGTATTACCACCGTCTGATACCTAGGGATTCTGACACTGTATATCCCTGATGCCTCAGTTAGGGTCTTATCCTCACGGGAGCACCGGGCAGTCGCGGATAAGGTAGCCTCTCGGAACCCTGTACAGTCCACCACCCCCACCCTCCACCCCACGGAGTTCAGACCGGTCATATGCCAAACATGACTTCGTCTGGAAGTCTTGGTGATCCCTTCGTTCTCCGTGTCTCTCGTACCACCTAGGTGGATCGGTTTGATAAGTAGCTGCAATTTTCATCACTTCAACCCAGACTTTAATTCTGTCCTCGGTCGCCGACAATGAATCCGGTGAAAGCAGCCTTTTTGATACGACAGTCATCATTCAGTAAAATGAAATGTTGATTTGTCCGCAGCCACTCGCATCACCTGCACGAGTTTATAAGGAACTTTTTGACTGCGTCTTGACTAGTAAACGATAGCGGTAGTAATAGTCATTTATAATCAGGCCGGTAACCAAACTATCATATTCCTTTTTCTCTACAGATGCTTGGCCGCACAGATGGTGTGCCTGTGGAATGGACTCCGGAGGAATGCATCGGCAACTGGTGGCGACCGAATTTTGAGCCCCCGCGCTACCCCTATATTCCTGCTCACGTGACAAAACCGAAGGAGCACACTCGACTCTACCTCATGCAGCTTCCCGAAAAGACACTTTTTGCAGTACCCTCTAATTACAAGCTGGTGGCTGCCCCGCTCTTCGAGCTTTTTGACAATTCTCGCGCCTACGGACCCATCATATCATCGCTGCCTCAGGTTCTTAGTCGGTGGGTTTCTGCTTTGTCTTTGCGCATTCATTAGGCACTTTGTTATACATTCTATGTGATGGAAGTAGCCCAATCGTTGTTTTATTTTTGCGGGAACCGACCATTAGGGTTTAGAAGTGCGAATAGAGCATAAGGCCACTGCCCAAAGTAAAGGTGTACGGCTGTCAGACAGCTTGAATTCAAGCGTATTTCTGCCAACAACAGTGGCCAGTTCGTCCATAAATTCCTTTTAGACACGCGTTACCGCTATAGCCGTTACTGCTTGTTTACAGAGTGCCGTTTCTCGTTTACTCTTCATGGTTAAGTAAACCTTAGCTGGCTTTTGTCTGCTTTTAGACATGTTTTCACTTTAGAAGCGTCTCTCCTGAATCAGGTTCGATATTGCTACCGTGTTGTGAAGGGATTGTTGTAAAGTGAACACACTATCTGCACCAACTCACTATCTATTCAAAAGCAAGGCCGACGTGAAGTGCATTAATTCCAGTGTAATTTTTATATCACCTTGATTTATTATAGCAGTATCTCATGGGACGTAACCATAGCTACACGCCCCGTCGTTTCGTCTTGCATTCAAGCCTCCAGTAATAAAATCACACAGGTATCCTCTACACTCAGACTGTTTCCTGTGATATTCCACTTACTGCTCACGTCTCGAAGATGCGTGCACTTATTTAAACCAATGGCCTCCCGTCATTACTTGAACTGTTGTTTTTTTAACATCTATCTCGCGTGTCCTCTAACCGCTTAAATTTTCCCCATTGCAGATTCAACTTTGTGTACAGTGACTGAACTCTTTGAACGTGGTCTGCACATGTTCCTCTTGCATCGCGGAGTGGATTGAGATCGTTTTGTCTCAATCAAAACGCTGCTCTGTCCTGTATATAACTGCCTCGTCACTCGTTTGCCCCAACTCGTTCCGTTCACGAGTTTGAGTAAATCACTGTAAAATAAAAGCTACTGAATCTGTTTGAGTAGTCTATTTTGATTCATTCAATTTGACCTTCCGTTCGACACCCGGAAGTGCGCTTTGTCGCCGTCTCGGGGCTGTGGGGGAGCGCGCCATTATTTAACTACCTACAAAAACTCATTACTGCGTTTACGTTTGACACTGCGTTTAATTCTTCATGCGAATGCGAACTAAACACCTTGGTCGGCTGTTTCACCGCCCAGTGCACAGAATGAGCCCTCACTTTTCGCTGCTTTTCCGGGTTGAGATTACCTGTTGGCAAAAACTCAGGCAAGGATCATAACCAAGGCTAAAAGCTGTTCCAAGGCCCTATGTCTTGCTTTTGTTGAAAATAGGCCTCCATATTGTTTCTGTAGAGGACGGGATGCCTTTCTATCACACTTCGTGTCCCTGAGAGGACGTTAAAACCCAGTGCAGTTGTCTCCCAGAATGCTTTTAATCAGTGGGAACATGGATAGTATACAGGAAGACCAACCTTTGCCATACGAGGTTGGACAATTTGAGGACCGGGGCACTTTGTTTCAGTGGTTGATTCTTCCGCATCTCTTCCGAGTTCGACGTTTTTTCCTACTGTCAGGAAGGCGAGGTTCTCATTTGTGTTAAACAGCTTTTTGGAAACATCATATTGGCGGATTTTAGGTATTCTATTATAAGGCGTTTTTGCTGGCCAAATAGCCTGTGGACTGCACTTTCCTGACCTTGGATCACCAGGCTGTGAGCGAGTCATTTTCGTGCAACTTGCGTCCTATCCGTGTGTTGTTTGATATTCGATAACAGTCCACTGCCGCCCGGCCGTCACTACGACATTAGACTGCGCGTCTGGCTACAGGGTTGGCTCTTCCTCTCGCGTTACGTCCGTCCTTTGGTTTTGCTGGGGCCTTGAGCGCAGTCCGTTATCGGGACTTCTTGCCAGAAAGCGCTGGCTGCAGTGTTGCTACATCTGCGGTTCTCCACCGAACTGCAATTGTTGAAAATTCTTTGAGGTCATTTGCGTGCTCAGCCAGAATTAAATATCGGGTCCCTACAGAAATGCGGGTCGGGTAAGGCCATTCCGTCTTCTCCTTGTCAGTATCGCTGCTTGATTTAACGTCGTCTTCGGAAGACAGCCTCTCCAGTTGGTCACCATAGGAACAGTACATCCTAGGGGCGTCGCTCATCGCAGGATTTTGAATGTTCTGATTGTATCTCCGTTCGTATAAGTTGGAATCCCAGAAGAACGAGTAAAATTTCTGTGGCGAGGAAGGGGCGAAACGCACGGATTCACGGTACTGCACAGCAGTCAGCTCTACGTTTGTCCTGCTCACACCAAAATGTCCAACTCGATGCCTCCCTGGCCGAATTATCGCAAGTGGCTGTCCACACCTTCGAAAGGGGTCGAGAGTTCAACTTTGCAGGCGCTAAGTGGATCGCTCAGGCTGGAGCAAGGCAAGCCGAGAGGAGGCCGAAGCCTGGACCTTGGACGAGGACTGAGTCAGTCGATGTGTTGTCGGCGTACGGAGCCCTGCGCAATTACTCCCATACCTGCGTTACTGATAATTGACTGGCCAACACCTGCAAACGTTGCTTGTTCTGTTGCTGCTGCCCCATCTGACGGTAGTCTCAGAAGGACAAACGGAAATTTCCCCGTGCCCGATCAGTTTCCTTACACATAAATACACCTGGCTGTCGAACCTTCGCCTCAATTCAATGTTGGTAGTTCCGTCACCGGCCATACAAACGAGTAGAACAGTAGACCTACGAACACAGGAGGGCAGGCTAAGCATGCTTGAGCCGGCTACTGTGTTGGCCCACACTGTGTTTTTGTCTAACCCACTTACCCCTAATCTCCAGCGGCAGATATCGGGAACTGTTAGTTCTAGGTTGCTGGACTGGTGGATACGTCCCCTCTTCCGCAGGGAATGATTGATCAGAAAAGGGACCTTGATACCTGTCAGCATGACCAAAAGTACAGATGCAAACGAAGATGCGAGTTCCACGAGCTAGTTGGTCAGAAGAAGAAGAAGAAGAAGAAGAAGAAGAGGGGGAAGAAGAAGAAGAAGAAGAAGCGATCGGTTGCACCACTTGGGGTTGGTGTTGCACACAGACCGGAGGCCACCATGAGGCGTCAGGCGATGAGACCGAAAGACCCACTGCCACGGCAAGAAACGTCTGGAGTCGTTTACCGGGCCTGGTGCAGTTGCGGGCAAAGCAACTGCGTCGGAGAAACTGGGAGACTGCTCCGAACGCGAATTGGCGAACACGCGGCGGCGGTACGGAGAAATGACGCCAACTCTGAGGTTGCCGCCCATTCGACGAGACCCGGCCACACATTCAAGTTCGATGAGGCCGAAATTCTCGCGAGGGGATAATCGCGTGAGCCGCGAGTTGCTTGAGTCATGGTTCACGGGACCTCAGTCTATCGACAAGTGCAACGACATCCCCACTCCATATTCCGTGCTGAGGCATAGGCTGGTCAAAGTAATTGACCACTGGGGGAGCGCGCAAGCCGGTGACCCAGGTGGCCGAGCAATCATCACGCCAGCGTCCAGCACGGGTGATGAGATGTCAGCAATTAACAACTTGCATGCCGGCCATCAAGCAATTAGCGCACCAGCGGGCAACAATCCTTGATGATGGGGAGCGCGGTTAATTGAAATAGGTATGCGGTAGCATAGCGACTGCATCCTATAGATACTGCAACTTCCTGTGCACAAGTCACCCTTTCCTGCCATTGTCTCTGATGATGGATTCAAGTTAGAATCCGAAACGTCAGGCGAATAAAGCCCTCGTTCCAGCGATCGCTTATTTTTTCTGATGACCAAAATTAGTTCGTGGCCATGTGCATGTGCGCCTAAGCTTAGGTACTGGGCTTTCAGTCGAGTTTTAAACTACGGAATGGGTGATTGACAATGAGGGTATGGAAGAGGCTGCGTAGATTCGTTTGTCAGCATAACTCGTTTGTACCTCAGCGAGACTCAATAAGAATAAACTTATATTTCACGGGGTTTTATTCTCGGATTTTGAGGACAGGACGTATGAGCTTTTCTTGGCCACATCTACTGACTTGTCTGGGAGGTTATCTGAGGGTGGACTGTGCCTGCTTCTTTCGTAATCGTAAGAGTTCGCGAAACGCAGCAACTGCTCGATGTGAGGCTTTAGAGATAGAAAAGCATGTCAAGTGTTAGGGTTATGAATGAGACCAGAAAGTATGATTGCGAGAGATTAGAAAAGTAGGGAGTGATAATGGATGGACGCACACGGATTCGTCCCACTGATTCAGATTTGGCCGGTTGGAGATGGTGCTAATGACAGTCCAAAGACGCGAATAACGTGACGAACTGCCAAAGTACAAAAGACAGGGTGGTGAAGAAGTCATTTAAAGATGGCCAAAATGAATTACTATATGGTTGAGGAAAGTGTAGCAGGATCTCACTCTCTGGGTATCCGGCGAGGAGTGAACGTGTAAGCCCTCCGAGAAAATAGAGAAGAGGGACTCCTGTAAAAGGGGGAGGATGTTAGCATTGGCTCTGCCAGCAAGGCAGATGAGCGCGACAATTAGCGGGATCCCCGGAAGGAATTGAGAAAACCCTCATTTCTGCCGTGCGTTTGTTTCGTTTCTCCAGTGAGGCACCGCAATAAACCGTGCAATTTGAAATACGCGTATTAGGGGTGTGTATGTAATTGGGCGGAAAACAAGTAATTTAAAATTATTAGTTAGAGGAGACTGGATTGAGTAAGGCGGTATGCGGCAGGCAAACCTAGTCTAAATTCTAACTAACGGCAAAAATCCGGGTGCCAACCATTTGTATTTATCCTAAACTTGAACGCTTGCCATTGATAAATCTCAGCGTACAATGCTTACCTAAATCAAGTAGATAGGCATGCCACAGTAGACAAAACTAAGGGCTGACGGTTGATCGCCGAATTTTCAATGCATGTTGGCGGAGTATCTGGCACAAATGAGTAGGCAGTAGGCTGGCAAAGAACTCGTACATATTAACGGTTATTATCCGCTTACGTTTTTAAGTGTAAAGTTCCGATGTGAAGGTATGCTGACAGACAGGGAAACCGCATCAAAGTTTTTGGGAGAGAGTGAGAGAGAGAGAAAGAAAGAGAAGTTAAAGGTCAGCCGGCTCGATTAGAAAAAGATTCCGGATCAACCACCTGAGACTCGAGTCTGAAATATGTTGTCGAATAGAGATGTAAGAGAGCTCTGACGAAGTCTTTGGAGCGTTAAATTGGACCTCGAGCTGTTCCAGATGGTCAGTACTGCATGAATTAGGGTGAAGACAGAATCAAAGATGAGAGGTACCCAGGGCCCCACATTGTGTATGCTGGGTTTCTGTGCGGGATGTACGTCTAACAGAAGACAAATTGTGCCCTCCCAACACCCTCAGCGAGCGTGATGCACCTCACCCCCATGCCCGATCCCAAGTCCGGACTCTGTTACCTGTGGCTGCTAACTAACCTGTCGATTACGATGGTCGATAGTCCACGGCTGGCGCCTGGAACGGACTTCCAGATGACTTGATAACGGTGGATTCCACGGAGACATTCAAGCAAAGACTATATGTATATTTGCTTAAAAGATACCGCTTGTCTGGACAGAACAGCTCTGCTGTGCCAAACCAACGCCTTGCATATACCTACCGCTAATGCAGATGATTGTAATTTCATTTTACCGTTATCATCTACAACTGAGTGTTCTCTAGTTTCGGTACTGCATTTCCAAAGTAAAATATTATGAGAAATGTATATACTTCTGACAGCATTTTAGTACCATGTTTATTTAAAGTAGTAATTGTGTACACCGTTTTCAGTAGGGTTTGAAAGGCCTTGCCCATTACCCTTGAAATAAACTGACCTAGACTGACCTTAAACACAAGTCAGGAAATACTGTTGTTTAGGCAAGCGTTACCGCCGGAAAAAGGAGTCCGCACAGTTCAGCAGACAAAACCGGAAAGTATCTTCGCAAGCCGTGTCAGCCGTGTGGCCTAGACGCGAAATGTATGCCTGCGGCTACGACCAGTCGATAAAGACATACATATCGATCGGCTTCATGGCGTCGGGGAGCCGACGGCTAAATCACGCGGACACACTCAGTGCTTGGCAAGCCTGCTAAACCGACTGAAGGCGGCATGGGTAAGCGACCTTGTTGACGACCGTGAAGGCGAGACACTACAACGCAGCCTCCATCCAACCTCCTAGGGACATTAATCCGTAACGAGCTAGTACAGTATGTGAGCTAACTCATGAAATTTCGGCCGAGATTCCGAAACGCTTTTTCGTTTCGACAAGATCAATTAAGTAAGGGTGTAAAACTAATCAGCCTGCAACGTAATTCTATAATATTTCAGTTACCTCAGGATGCCGGCTTTCGAACGAACTTCCTTCCGGTTGCATGCAAAAACTACACTCTGCAAAAAATGACCACTCATATAGCATCAATTTTTCTCATTGATTTTCGATGCCCCGAAAATTCCAATTATATTTCATTAAAAACATGCATGAGAATATTCATTATTTTGCTCATTCGGTAGATAATTTCGTCGACCTCTAATTTTTACTCGAAGGCGGGACATAGTTCGGTTTTAAAAAAGTTTCTAATTGTGGACTTTTAAATACCGTGAAGTGACCGTTCATAAATCGCCATGTTTCTGCATTTACCAATGTGGCTTGTAAAGTTAACAATATGGATCAAATCCACTGCTTACTTTTATGAACCCTATATAGTCCCTCTTTATTACCGTAGAGAATTGTGTGGTTTGCCGTACGCGGAAAATATACGGCTTGTAGTTTAGAAACCCTGGTTCAAAATTATTCGGGAATTGGAAACGTTTTTGAAAACCGAATTATACCCTTTCGTCGGGTATAAGATTGGAAGACGTATTTATCTACCGAATGAGCAAAAGTATGAATGTTTTTATGCATGTTTTTAATAAAATATAATTGGACTTTCAGGGGCATCGAAAATCGATGAGAAAAATTGCTGCCACATGAGTAGTCATTCCTACAGAGTGTTGTTTGTGCATGCAGCCGGAAGGAAGTTCATTCGAAAGCCGGCATCCTGTGGTAACTGAAATATCATAGAATTATGTTGCAGGCTGACTAGTTTTACAACCCTTCTTAATTGATCTTCTCGAAACGAAACTGCGTTTCGGAATTTCGGTTCACATTTCATGCGTTAGCCTACCTTCTGTAGTCATGTTGCCAGAAAACGTAGTCCAGTTATTCCTCTGCATTGGCCTGACGGCTAAGAACTGAAGGATATCGTTTGCTTGTCCGTGTTAGTGCTGCTTATTTAAATCAATATAATAATGGAGGTGATATTCTGCTGGAGTTTCTTCTGATGGTCTGGTTGCTGAAGTCAGCGAACTCCAGCACTGTCTCACGAGAGGGGCACTATCGCGGATTGCGTGTGACGTCGTGCATACTGAGGCAAACTTGCGTAGCAGCAGACTCACTCTCTATGCTAACACAGTGCGTTTGGATGGTAAGACAGAGTGGAGCCGACTGGTGATGAACGTGGAAGCAGTGGCCGACAAATCTAAACAGCCCATTCGCACTGACGTACAAAACGCGGTTCCTAAGGGGAGCTCCTTAGAAAGGCGCAATTTTGTTTAACAGTCTCCCAACGAACCCATTCAGTCGAAAATCGACCTTCGCATTTACACGGTGGTTGTTTAATGAGGCTTGTGTATTTATGCTAACGACGCATTTTTATAGTGGACACGGGGGCTCACACGGGGCGGATATAGTTGGCCGGTGAAACCTAGGTTGTGATGCGTAATATCTACCGCCAGATTAAAATATTCATCAGCCCTACCGTTGTTGATCACTGTCAGCCATTCCAACAGGTTTCTTACCCATTCTGCTGAAAAGGTTACTGCCTAAGGGATTCGCAGAGAGAGTAGCCCCTCTGACAGAGTGACACTTGCAACCAATTCCTACTTGTTTGAGTTGATAACTAGACCTGTTGTCCGTTGGTTATCTAGAGATCCTTGAAATTGTTCTGGGCTCATTGGGCACTCCCCAGTAACCGGTTCACTTGATAAGCGAGTTAAGATGAGGACTACCTTGTGAGTCTCCCCACATGGGGATTTTGTGCACGTAGCCTGGTTCCGTTGGTTAAAAAGGCGCGATATGCTCTCATACCCATTACAAGTAAAGAACTAACTGGGGCGCAAACGAGACTGGTGCTTCTCGAGTCAAAAACAGCGCTGTGATCTGTCAACTCCGGTAACATCCATCTAGGATTAGTTGTAGACGTTGTTTCATAATCCACATTCCACCTATCACCAGCCTCCAG